GTTGCCCCCTCATCTCATCCTGCTCGTTGGCAAGTGGCGCTGGAGTCGGCAACCAGTACAAGCTCAGGACAGGTCTGTAGCCTAGGTAAGAAGGATCTCCACTGTGGAGCTGTTTGGTTTGTTAATTTGTAATGTTCTAACCCTGTGAGAACTCTGCCAGTGGCTTATGATAGATATTGACAGGCAGGAAGCCTTTCTATGCCACCCTGTGGTGTTTTGCGATGTAAATATTTTGTGTATTTTATTTCTGTGATTTAGTGTGAGGTTTTATATGTATATTGCTGTGGGTTAAAATGTAGGCCTCTAGAGTATGAAAGGGGTGTTGAAGTGTGTTATGATTGGATGGTAGCTGTACTCTAGGCAGACAGAGTTGACAAAGTTGTAGATCGTGAAGGGGGAAGAGTGAGTTGGGTGGGGGGTATGAAAGGGGTATGAAAGGGGTGTTGAAGTGTGTTATGTTTGGATGTACTCTAGGCGGACAGAGTTGACAAAGTTGTAGATTGTGAAGGGGGAAGAGTGAGTTGGGTGGGGGAGGAATGTGGAGTGTGAGAGAATTCTTTGTGGAAGTAATTAGCCTAAGTGGCGAGTGAGAAAATAAACCTTTGTGGCTAGGTCTATTTAAGGAACTAGAGAAAGAAGAACCGTACCTATCTGAAACCATTACACTTATGAGGTTTACTGAAATCATTTTGCTGTTAATACTTTTACATAAACTCTATTTATGTTTAAGAGGAAACAACTGTTTTATTTAGAGTAAAGGATCCCCTTTTACCTCAGAGTAAACAGAATAACTGTTCTGTTATTCTACCTAATATGTTCGTGGGTCCAACTAAGAATTCTAGGTCAAGAGACTTTGGTGGCAGCAAAAATAAGTAGCAAACGCTAAGGAAGGTGAGGTAGCATAACACACATCACCTCAGAACGCTACAGATGGATATAGCTGCATATAAGAGGATCACAGAAGAGAGCAAAATGTTACACACCCTCTCCTGCCAATATTGTAGAATTTTTGCCCAGTGCTTTTGTGTTCGTTCTCGCTCTGTCTCTCTCTGTGTCTCTCTCTGCCTTTCCATCACCTGTCTTGGATTTGACAGATACCTGCAGTTCACTCCCCCCCACACACATGCACCAAGACCTGCTTGCTTCAGATCGTAATCTGTGTTCCTTTTTTAATACCAGGGGCATTTGGCTTTTCAGAGTGGAGGTGACACTACACTCTTCAGTCCCCCAAATCTAAGACAGCTGTTTGTATTCCATAGCTCTAGATTGTAGGGGTTTTTTTTCTTTTCTTCAGACTGGTTGGAGTATTCTCCCAGAGACTTTTCACGACTAGAAGTCATTTCAGAATAAATGCACATTTTTTTCTCACTCTGGAGTAATCCCGTCAGAGTTTATGGAACTGCCGTGGGGTAGAACCTTTAAAATACTGGTCAAAACATTGGGGGAGGGGGCTACAGGGCAGGCTGGAACTCAGTGAGGCAGTTCAGCATGGCTCACTTGGATGCCTCACAGACCCCAATCCCATTTGCAGTGCAAAGGTACATAGGGCTTGACAACCAATCTCTGGCTTCACACTTACATAGGTGGTATTTCTACTGGCTCTAGTGGTGTATCTGTGTTCTAAGTGTCTCTAGCTATATGATTTTTAACATTTTATGTGGTCTTTTTCTTAGCCTCTGGTTCCAAGACAGACCCACAGCTGTTGGAAAGCCAGCAGAGCAAGGCCGACAGCAGCCGAGTAAAATCACGCATTTTGGCTAACATGCCAAAGCTTTTCATCCCATCATCTGTCACCAAATTCCCCCCCGAGATCACCGTCACCCCACCAACCCCTACTCTGCTGTCTCCCAAGGGCAGCATTTCAGAAGAAACCAAGCAAAAGCTCAAGGTACTTCGAAAGCAAATTTGCAGTACAAGTGGTCTGGGTTTTTTTGTGTGCTTTTTGAAATGTAGCCTGAGGAGTCATCTTTGATAGGTCTTTAGGGCCCCACTGAATTCTGCTTTGCCACCCAATGTTTGACTGCAGTGACATTTCCCAGAAGTAGTATATATGCAAAGACCTAAAGAGGCCTTCTGGGAGAGGTTCTCATCCATCTGCAGCAAACCAAGCAGTGTGTGTGTGGGGGGGATTTCTGTATGTGGAGAGGAGAAGGGAGGTAGGGTGTCTCCGATATCTCAAGAGTTTCCTCTGGGTACTGATGTCTGCTAATGGGCCTGTTTTTCAAGTGTGACAGAACTTGTCTGCCATAATCATGGTTCTGGCAGCAGTTGACTGCTAAGCAGGAAAGGAACTGTGTGTTCAGAATGAATAACAATTCTGTCTTTGGGGTCTCATGTGGGTTCCCTTATTTGGGATTAATATCTCCCCCCCAATTAGAGAATGTGGGGACTTTGGGATTAATCTCTATCTTATCTCCCCCCCAATTAGAGAATGTGGGGAGTTTCTGTATCCCTCTGTGGTTTGGAGCACTTGCCTGATTTGAACATGTGGGGAGTTTCTGTGTGGTTTGGAGCACTTGCCTGATTTGAACTGCTTGGGCTGAACAGGCAGGTGCTAGCACCTACTTTGTAAGCCACCTCCCTGGAGCCAGCTGGTAGAGGCAAGGAAGGAAGGAATAAATTTAGGCTCTGGACTTCATTGTCCTGTGCCTCCCACATCAGATGGCAGGATGAACATGCGGCAAGCTTGTCTTATCCCATCCTACTGTCTCCATACACGTGTGGTGTAACCTGATCCTTCGTATGCATTGTGTTCAGTAGGGTTTATTCCAAAAATGTGTGTATAGGATTACAAACAAATGAAAAACCCCAGAAGATATGGGAGATGAGCGAAACAAAACATACAACACTGAGGCACACAGACGCAGACTGCATGGGCTGACCCAGAAGTCTGATTGAGCCGATCCTCCAGTTCTGGCAACTTCTGCTGGGCTCCACTCCAAGGTGCTCGGTTCACCTCTGCTGCCTGGAGCAGCCCAACACGAAGCTTCTTGTTCCAGTCACCAGCATGCTGCCTTCTCACTGCTCAAGGGGCACTCTCTTTGCCACATAAACCATATGCCGCTAGAGAATGCACAGGAGGCACTGGTGATGACAGTGGGAGGTGACTGGAGGGAAGCAAACCTGCCACATGTTAGCCATAGCCTGCCTCTGGGGCCACAGAGTTGCCAGGCCCCCAGCATCCCAAACTCTGAAATTTACCAGGAAGGGTTTGGTGATGTCATACTGAATGGCTGTCCCAAAGGAAGCATTTTTTTTTTAATTTACAAAAGTAGAAAAATTGAAAATAGACAGCAATCCTGTCCACAGGCAAACTCTCAAAATAAAAAAATAGTATTCTCCTTTTTCAAATAATTGCATGGATATTAATGAAGTAAACATTAATATTATTAGTTTCTTCATGGCTGTGTATGCTGATAGAATTTACAAAACAGCAGCATCTCTGTCCTCCTTTTAAAATCCCTGCACAGTCAGCTGTTACATCAGCATCCTCTTGCAAGTGTGGGCTCAAAGTCTGGGGGGAGGGGGCAGTACTAGCTGAGAAATTTTAAAAAAATACACTGCCCTACAGCATTTCACAGACATTGCTAGATGAGCCCATGAAACAGTGCTATTGATACCTGGTGGATTTGGTAGGCAGAGCAAGCACAGCGCAAACTGCAGTTCACAGGTGGGTTCGTGGAATCAATCTGAGATCCTGGCTTGGGGCCTGCTATGGAGCTAGATGGTGAAAACTGCCTTATGCCTACGCCTTCTCAAGGAAGATATATGAATGCGACCACCTGCTAGATTCCCCTTCAAGTGGAGGAATAGCTGAGCCTACTTCAAGCAGACACACACCCCCACCAGTGTTCCCTATAAGCTGAGTGAGTGTGAGCTAGCTCACAGTTTTTTAGCCTCCAGCTCACACATTTTTGCCTTTGCTCAGGAGGGCTCCAGAGCAAATTAATTTATGCAGTAGCCAAATGGCTCACTCACAACTTTAATGCCAGTAGTTCACAAAGTAGGATTTTTGCTCTCAAGACTCCACTGCTTAGAGGGAACATTGACCCCCACCTCTACCCAGGAAAGGTGGGAGACGTGAAGGACTGCTGTTGTTTCTGTAGCAAAGCACAGACCTCCAAACACTCCTTGGGGAAGGGTTTACAGCTGCCTCATTCCCTTGCCAGAACAGCCAGGTCAGTTTTAGCCATCTTATGCCAGTTACAGGGAGCAGCCAGCTCTACCCTGTGAGCAGGAGGGATGGAAGTGGGAGGAGCGGGACATGGGCATGGTGATCTCATGTTGCCGGACTCCAGACCAAGTCTAGCCAGTGCCCTGTTCAGCTGCTCCTCTGCAGATCTCCAGCCAAAGGTGGGAGGGATAGGGCATGGCAGCACAGTCGGATAGCCAGCAGCGGCTGGTCCTAAACTCTGCAGACGTTGTGTGTGCCGTTGTTGCTGAGAGGCATGAAGAACAGGGTGGGGAACTCTGTTTGGGGGTTCCCTTATAGGCTGGGGCCCCAGACTTCCACCCTGAAATCCAGCTCTGATTTCACCATTGCTCCCTCCATACCACCCAGCCCAAGATCATTAATGTTAGCAGCTCCCCATTTGTTGATCCAGAATAGCTCCCACGACCTTTTTTTGTACTGAAAAATCATTGTTCCAGTTTTGGTAATTACTACTAGGCAAAAGCATGCTCTGAGAACACAAAAGGCCTATATCTCTTTGCCAATAGTGAAAGGCTGGTTAATGTGTTACAGGAAAACTAGTTGTGAATATACACCATCAGACCTTTTGGGTTGACCCAGAAGGATTAGAAGGAAAGGCTTTTAATCTTTAATTATTTTTTTTAATATTCCTTTTTCTGGGCCAGTCGGCTATACTTTCAGCCCAGTCTGCAGCAAATGTGAAGAAAGAGAGTCTCTGTCAACCTGCGCTGGAGATTGTGGAAACCTCAAGTCAAGAGTCCTCCCTGGAGAGTGATACTGATGAAGAGGATGACTACATGGACGTATGATGGCGCTCCACCTCATTGCAGCAGCATTGCCAGCCAGCCTCTTGCCTCCATGGTCCCTCTTCCACCATTGCGGCATCTGGTGTTGCCTCACCTTCACACAGAATGCTCGCTGCCCCTCCTCAGTCTCCCTGGGATTCTATGCTCCGGGGTCTCAGAACCTTGCAAGCCTGCAGCGCTTCTCACTCATTCCCTCGTCTCCAAGTTTGGCCTGCTGGCTGAGCAGAGAGGTTGGTCTTGCTACCAAAATCTTGCATCACTTGTTCCATTCAGCAAAACAATGGCTTATTTGTCTCAATGTTGGCTTAAACAGCCAGATGGAAGAGAATGCTTCTGGATTCTGCTTCTTCAGGTTTCCTCAGCCAAGTTCCTTAGACCAAGGGGTGACAAGATATTTTAGTGGCATTGGAAGATGTTGCGGATTTCAATGTCATTTTGGTAGTGTCTGCTGGTGTTTTTTTTTTTAACAGAATGACACAAGGGGGGCTTTTTTTAATGCACCTGTGGAAGGATTAATTGCATTTATATGGGGGATGATAAAGGGAACCAAGCATTTTTCTACTGAATGGTAACTTTGTAATATAATTAATGCATTACCCTGCACACACAAAAAGAGACATGTCACAAACATAACACACATAGAGCTTGCCTTGCTGGGGTTTGATTTGTTGGGGAGGGGGAAGGGGAAATTTGAGTTAAACAAATTGTGCAGTGCAGAGCTTTATATAAATATACATTTTTGTAATAAAGTGAAGCTGTGTTCACCTGAGCCTCCAGGCTCCTCCTATGCTGTGTGCACATACTGCCTGTCCATCACAACTCACTCTCCTGCCTACCTTCAGTTCTCAAGTAAGGATGAAGACATTGAGAGAGCGAGAAAGTGCATCTCTCTCGCCTCCTGGTGCAACAGGTGAGCTCTAGTTTTTTAAAAATGACAATTCTACATGCACTGTAACATGTTTTGTTCTCCAGTCAGCAAGAGGGAGCAGTTAAACTGACCCTAATTGATAGCAATGTGCCAAATTTGGCAGATCTGTGTCTTGTTTTCCCCAATATCCAACAGCCCCAATGCATATCTGTTGAAGCTAACTGGACCTAACCTCTAAAAAGAGGGCTTAGCAGCCTTGTAGTGAGTCAAGCCAGGTAACTCACCCTCAGGGGTGAATCAGCAAAGGACTGCAGCTAGAAAATACAGAAGGACATGAGGGCACCTTGACTAGATAGGAAACCATCTCCAGTTTCAAAGCCTTTCAGTCATTTACATTCAATAGGAATTGAATCTGCTGCTGGTTTTGTAAAGCACAATTGTAATGGAAGGTTCTAAAAAGGCGGTTTTAAGACTTCTCGTTTTCTCCCCTTGTGAAATATTTCTTTCCTTCAAAAGAAGATCTTGAATGGCTCTTTAAAAAAAATTGTCTTGGAGGAAAAAGAGAAGGGGGGAGCGAGTTAAGGCCAGCCTAATATCTTTGGCCTGCCGCCTTCTCTTCTGCCATGCTGCTGAAGAGGACAGAGGGCCCTGCCTTACCAGTCTGTCTTCCCAGTCTAATGGAGGTGACGCTGGAGACTTCAGTCTTAGGGGGCTTCAGAATACAGGCTGAGGCCTCATCTCAGTTGACACAGGAGTTTGTGGTCTTCAGATGTCCATAAACTTTTTCAAGATAATATCTGACCCTGTACATTTAAGAGGGGACACCCTCACCCTGAAGATTTGCGTTTGCTCTGATTTTCATTGGTTTTTTACATTGTATTTTTATATTGTTCATGTAGCTCTAATAGTATATTTCCGGGGGGGGGGGGCGTCCTGCTTCAGCCAAAGTTGTAGTTACCATCTTTCTGGAAAGCAATTAAAAGTGACTTGCCTTTTCTGAATTTTTCCAGCAATGCCAGCCCCTGCCTGTCTCAAAGGTCTCTGTTAGATGGTGTTCCTGATCTATTTGTAAAACATCCCTTTAAAAAGCTGTCACATAAAAGGGAAGCTGACCATAAATGGAGCTGAGGTCAATAAGTATTGAACAAATTAAAAGCCCTGCTGCCTCCTGCTTTCCCTGCATAGACAGTTTGCTTCTCATTTTAGTTACTGGCTTTTGAACAGAAGCCAAGTTGAAAAGTGAAAAAGTCTGGAAGGGAGGTTCTGCAAAGACATTGCAATGTGGAAATGGTGCTCTCGCACTAGCCATCCTCCTTTACCTTTCCAGCACTACCCCTTTCCACATAGTCAAAAATATGCTCAATCACATATTTCACATGCACACTCTTGCACAGACATGCAGACAATGCAAATAGAGGGGGCTGCCCTTTCTCCTTGTAGGGAGCACAGCTGAAAGGAAATGGGCAAGTGGCAAGCTGGACAGTGTCTCCTTTCTTTGCATTGTCTAGGTGGTACAACTGCTATGGATTCTGCAGCTGCACAGTCCTGTTTGGCACACGCTGCATACAGAATCCTTATATCAGTGCAGGTAATGAACAAGGAAAATGCATTTTTTGTATTTTTCCCAAATGTGTGAAACGTATTGTGCACTCCAAACATAGCGCCAGTCCTCTAAAATGGCAGATCCTTTTCAGGACAGGTTGCTACTGCTTGGGGGCCCTGCCTCAGCAGCCTCTGAAGTCTTCTCTGTAGAGCTGGAACAGCATTGACTGTACTTCCTTCCCTGCCTCCCTCCCCACTGAGTGGTGATAGCAGGTGCTTAGCTATGATTGAGGACTCTGTCTCTCCATCAGGGTCCAGAAGAGCTTTCAAAACTCCCCAAGACTTTTGTGTATTGGAAGGCATTAAGCAACCAATGTAAAGTTCCCTCTCCAGTTGCTGTGCAGGACTCCCGTGGGGGATCTCAGGCAGTTTTAACAAACCCTTATGCTCCCATTAATGATTTTTAAAGGCAATTGGTAGCAAAAAAGAAGGCAAAAGAAGAGAGTTAATGGAAGGTGTTTTCTACTACCTAGTGCACTAATAAATCCGAAGTGGACCAGCCAGCGAGTGACCTTTCTAATGCAAGCCATTTGCATTTTAATGGGAGATTTGAGAGTGGCTTTTTATTGCATTAAAAGAATGTCTAGTGTTCCCATGCAGGATAATGACCCTGCACAACAGCTGTCAATAAAGATGGTAGCAAAAACTGCCTGGTTTCCAACTACTGAGGAAGGGCCACAGCACCCAGCAGTCAGAGGTATGCTACCTGGATTCACCTGGGTCCTTTTATACCTCAGTGGTTAACAACTAATAAAATGCAAACTCGGTAGCTTAAATGAAACGATTTAGACTGATTCATTAAAGAAGAGCAGAAATGATAGACAAAGTTTATTCAACGAAAATAAATATATCAAAGCACATAGCTGAGAACACATTTGAACCATGAAATCTCTCATACTTAACTCCATATGTATAATAAAGACACATCAGAACATGATACATGAGTAGTGGAGAGATGAACCTTAGAAAGCATTTGAAGTGATGCAATTTAGAACAGAAGTTTGGCACAATAGGGGAAATCAGGAGGTCAAAGGGTCACAGCTGGTCCCTTGTCCCCACCTGTGCTTCAAACCTTCTGGAGAAAGAAATGGATAAAAGTAGGAGTAGAATTCTGCCCCAGAAGGGCAAGGGCAGAAGACTGCCACAAGTCAGAAATGAGCTTGCCGGTTGACGGAAAGAAGAGGGCTATGCTGCTGGCAACAAAAGGCACGTATTAACTCTCTTGTGTGTCTGTGTTTATATGCAATATGAAAGGTTTAAAACAAATTTTTATCTGTATTGTAAACATTGTTTTGATTGTTCACCACCTTGGGGGACCCTAAGTTGGGTAGACAGGTGGCATACAATTGATTTAAATACATTAATGAATAGGAGCCTTCAGAAGTGTTAAGGAGGATTGTTTTTATCAAAACTAGCATTTCAATCTCTAACATAAAAATGTTTATCCAGAGTCTCAGTATTTGTTTGTTAATAGCCTGCTTTTCTTCCCTGCGGTGACCCATAATGGCTCTTCTTCTGTCATCCTAACAACCACCCTGTGAGGTTGGGTAGGCTGAGAGAGGGATCACCCACCGAGATTCCATAGTAAAGTAGGGATTTGAACCTGTGTCGCCCAGACCCCTTTCAGACATTCTAAGCACTGCACAGTCACATTCTAAGCACTGGCTGTCACAGCAGCTGATATGGTACCACCCCACACAAACATACTCTCTTTTGCTTTTCTGTCTCACCACACACACACACACACAAGTGGTGAGATGTTTTAGAGCCATCACTTCCTCCCTTGGTTCCTTTTGGAGGAGAGAGCACTGGAGACTTTCCTTGCTTTTGGAAGATTTGCTTCACTTACAAGTAATGGAAGAGCACAGGTGGAGGTCAGGAGGCAGTCCTGTTGGCCAGAAGATCTCTTACCCCATGTCAGATTGTCAGAGAGAGAGAGAGATCCTCCACTCCCATGGTGTCACAGCAGTATCTGCTTCCCTCAGGTCTTACTCCAGAGCCCAGACTCAAGCTGTTGTTTCTTCCCACAAACATCCCTCTCCCCCCCCCCAAACGGGTTGCCTTCGTCACGCTCTGATGGGCCCTTGAACTAGGCCACTGAGGAACCATTTCCTAGCAGTCATCTCCTGCTGAGAAAAACATCCACATTCCTTAAGAAGCATTAACATTCCCTCAGAGGCGCTGGCCTCCTAACAGGCATGCCCACAGGATCAAAACAAAGCAGAAGTCCGGTGGCACCTTAAAGACTAATGTTTATTCCAGTAAAAGATTTTGTGAGAGTTCACTGTATCTCACATAAGCTCGACTAGAATAGATGTTAGCCTTTTAAGTTGCTGCTGGGCTTCTGCTTTGTTTTGCTACAGTAGACTAACATGGCCGCCCCACTGGAACCACCACAGGATCATCCCATTCATGCAGATGAGGCAACATCTTGCAACACTATGTTCATGCTTCACTAGCTACTCTGACTCCCCTGCATGGCAGTGTGTGTGAAGAAATGCTGAGAGCTTGTTTACCTCCCGCCCCTTTTAGTATGCAAGAACTGGTTCAGCGTCTGCACCGAGCAGTCTTACGGGTCCTCCTACGCTGGCAGTGCCATTTAGTTGAATCCCCACGTGCAGCAAAATAGTACCACTTTAAGCAAACAGTGACATAGCAACACCACCCAACACCTTGACCGCTCTGCCACTAGTCCTTAATCATAGAACCGCATCCCAGTGCAGGACCCCATATTTGCATAAATGGAAGGACTGCATCTGGACATGACAGCATCTTACTCAATATGCATACAAAACACAAGCCTCGCACCAAAACATCTCCGTAGCACCCTCCCGAGACAGACCACACCATGATGCAGCAAGCAGAATGCAGGAAACAATCCCCATACACATTCTAGGAGATCCTGTATAGGTGAGGTTTTCAGTTTCCTTGAAGCACAAAGACTGCCTGCAGATAAGCAGCCGATTGACAGGCAACTGCTAGGGTAGAAGGATGGATGAACAGACATTCAAATCTCAACACCTAGCTAGCTCTATTGGAAAAACAGGTGCAAGATTTCGATAGAGAAAGGCTCAAGATCCCACTCTGACACTGCAAATAACACATTTATGTCCATGTGAACAGAACAAGAATCTTGGATAAAACCACGATCAGAAACACTCAGGAACCAGCACTAGGAATTCCCAAGTAGTTCAGTGGGAAAGAGCTTTCAGTGGAAAATAAGGACAAGTGGGTTGAGTCATACCATGAAGGGATATAGATGAAGTGAGAGGGATGCAAAGCTGAAACTCTGGGTGGTCAGCCATTATTTGAGATGAACAGTAGCAGGAATAGGGAAGCAGGACTAGAACCCAACCCAGCGGTTCGAAAGTGCCCTTAACCAACTAAAGCGCGAGTAGATAAATCGGGAACCTACCTTAGAAGGTAGGGGGCACCCCCCCACTCTGGGGGTCGTTGGAGGGCCGGTCTCGGTGGACGGAGAGCGGCGGCGGCAGCAGTGAGCGGAAAAATGGCGTCCGGGATACATCAGTGGCGAACCTGACGGCGGCGGAGAAGGCGGAGCCAGGTCGACGTGCGAGCGTGGCGGCGCAGGCGGGCGGAGCCGTAAAGGACAGAGCCAGGACCGTGCCAAGCATGCCGCACACCAGAGGGGCCTACCGATCCGCCGCGAAAAGAGGACCGCCAGAAAAAGAGAGGAGCCAGAAGCCGCAGCTGAAAAGACGACGGAAAAAAGCCGCCCCGAGGAAGAACAACCCCCCCTCCACTGGGTGCTGGTAGGGATGTCCCCACCCCTGATGAATTGTGGCCTTAGATAGGGATAATGGATAACTGTACAGCCGCTCAGAGACCCCTTCGGGGATTAGAGCGGGATAGTAAGACGAAAGTAATAAATAAAT